CTTCCTCCACCACCATATATGCAAACCATCCCGTGATGGCAGTTCTCGGCGTGCCTCTGGGAAAGTCAAGCACCGGTGCAGAGCTTACCGTGCGTCGGGGACCTCTCATCTTCCCAGAGTTTCCGTACAAGATAAACAACTCCTTCTGCTCACTCTCTCGTCCATGAAAGGAGTCATTTTTTGCTGAAAATTTTGAATATTTACCTTCAGAATAAAGCAGGTCTCTCGTTGTATACGGCCCCGGGCGTGATACCGGTACTGCTATGACTTACAACCCAAAATAACTACTAAAGTTGGCGTCGTCTGTGTATGTCTTATGAATAACGGTTTCCGGTATATAATAAGACGTGATTTAAAGTCAAGATGTGCTCTGTTTTAATTTACTATATATGTGGTCCAGAAGATAGCCACTAGAAGATTTTGGTCCGCGGTTGCTTATATTTCCCATTACTTCATATTTTGGGTAACATTGTTGGCAGCTGTAACCACGGCGCACCTAGTCAACTGTGAGCTGTTAAACATAATTCACTACTTACATGCAACGTACGTTGTAGAGAAACTGGTTATCAGGGCGTGTGAACGTTCACACGCCCTGATAACTGGTTAACGAGTTTGTTTACAAAATCATAAACACAAAAATTGCATAAAAATTGTGTCGTCAAAAGGGAGACGGAGGATCTATAGCCCCTTTTAGCGTAGCTGCTGTATACCACTGACGAGCGAGCAGGCTTATCGATCAGTGTCACACGTTCGGTGCAAAGACCACAATCAGGAAGCCTGAAGATTGCTTTTTTTGCCGAGGTTAGCCACTCAGCGGTGCTGTCTTCTGGGGGAATAGGAACTAAATATTTGGGCCTACGAACCGAGGGTTTACTGCTTTTTGGACACTTGTGGTCATTGTCTATCGCCTCCTAACGAACCGTATTTTCCTCGGTACCACCATCCAGTAGAAAGTTAAGATCCTCTCTGCCTCGTGCATTGTTCATGGATTTTACTCGCCGCCGCATGCAATTTTTTTATCTGATTTCAGTCCTATCGGTGTCAGTTTGTATTTCACACTGTTCCCATCACTTATCCGTTTTTAACACCTCATTCCGTTACTTTCGAAATACGCTGCTTCTTGGCATTTTAGTACCTGATTTCAATTCCATGTCTGCCAGATTCCTCACAAAAGGCAATCTGTAGATCTGTAACTGATTGGCCTTTTTATGACTATAAACATGACTGACAGCTGTACGTTGCACCGTTTGATATCTTTTGAGCCAGGTACGATGTCGAAATTGTTAGTGTTTAAACACCAAACAGGCAGATAGCATCGGATAATACAGTCTTGTACTTTACTCGGTGTACTTGTGATCATGCGCAACCTATCCGGCTTAGATTATGTCGCAAGTTGTACTTCTCCACATGGGACACTCTTCGTCAGCGACAGAGCTCGGGTACTGAAGGTCAAAGGACCAATCCAGTGTCTTGGTGAACTGTGTCAAACCATGTTTTGAGTTAGCCTTTTCGAATAA